TAATGGACTAAGCCTTTGTCATACAGATCACTCAAAGCATTTTATAAGTGCGCCACATTCAGCTCTCATACAACCATACACAGTATGCAGTTTGGAGTTAATGCCTTTTCCGTGTCAGTGAGTGCACCCTGACATGTGGGACACCAGAATGGTTGACTGGTGTGTTTATTATCAATCACATTCTTCCAAAGCAGAGCTACTTGTTTTTGAGCTTAAATAATCACTGATTATAACGAAGTTATGCGCAATACCATCCAAGAGTACATGGGAAAACCCTAAACATTGAACTCTCTCATGCCAGATAAAAAAAGAAAAAAATTCCTGGGTCTGTTAAACTCGATTTCAGCTTTTGCGTTCAAAAGGAAGGGTCAGAATTCGACATAGTTAAGATAAAAACATAGATCCATCCTGTTCTGGTCTCAGTTCTTCAGCCTGGTAGTGGTATAATGGTCAGAGGGGGAAAACAATTCTGCTGCACTTTAAACCATTTAAATATCAGTTAACACCACACACACACACACACACTCATAAACCAATCTAAAACAAGGTTTGATTATTGTTGACCTGATAGGAATACCATAGCATCAGGGTCATATTTTTAAATGACGCAACAACAAATGTGTTTTATTGTTTTGCTTCAGAGAGTTTCAGAGGGCTGCTGGCCTTCAGGTAGTGATCTATAAAGTCACTAGCTTCACTGTGAAGATGCTGCAGACAAAACAACACACTTGGTCTCTTTATTGTTGCCATTCTACTACTGCTAATGGCAGCACTGTTTGTTAAATAAAATTTTATCCCACATTCCTATTCTACAATAAGACTTCCTTGAGTAAGGAAAAAGATCAAATGGCTTGACTTCAAATTTGAAACAATATCTGTCTTGAGTAAATATTCAGACAGAAAAAAAAGACCACTCTTCTCTGACTCTTCTCCACACATAGTATCCCTTCATTCTTTCACATCTTTAACTGCTAGAACCTACTTCTCTGACTTCACAGCATAACTGGAATGCAATAAATCCCCTTGCACACTTGGAAATGAACCACCCTAAAATCACCCACTGCTGTCTGTCAGTCTGCCATGGCCCATGTAAGGTCTCTGTCTTCTTTTCAAATAAACATTTCATCACGTTCTTATTTCAGGGGAAACTAGTTCAACAAAAACTGCTCCATAAGTCAGATGTGCTATCAAGAAAAGAAGTGTACCACATGGAGTATACAGATGTGTGACAGTTGCCACAGTAAATGCTGGCAGTAGGCACTAATACTACATGGTCCACTTGGATTTATAGCTCTTGTTACTGGAAGCTGGAAATATGCTGTTTTTTTCTAATCTCATTGAGTGATTAATTGTTTATTGGTCTTTATGTGAGTTGCTCCAAAGTTTTGTTCCTTCCGGCTGGGTTTCAAAGTTCACCGCAAAGTGGCACAGCGTTGGATAAATGGTTTTTACCATCAGACTCAATTAAAACTGACATCAAAAAACAGTTGGTTACAGTGCAACATTTTCTAAAGTCATGACTAAGATACAAGGGAAGCCAAGATAGGGCATATATACGGTAATAAAGATGTTTTACCGTGGTGAGACAAGTTGTAGAGTAATACCTGACTCCTTACAAGTGGGATTTTCTGCAATTCTTTCTTTCCTTTGTTTTGTTAATAGTCATTAGATACTTCTGCATCCCAATTTATAAAACATAAACTGGGCTCAGGATTATTCAGTAATGGATGTATATTTCCCTTGAAGAGACGTTTATAACTCACTGTGCCTCTCTATCTGTATGTTTAGGAGTTTTTTCCTGCTTATCATAGGCCGGGCATACACTGTGCAATAACTTCAATCGTTGTAGTCAGCTACAGATCAATCTGCATGACAAAACCGCAGGGTTTAAATGTTCAAAGCTCACAATGCATGTTCTAGAACTGTGCGACCTGACACTATGATGCAACCTGATGATGGCTGGCTGAATATCAAATCCTGTTTGATTTTTTCCCAATCTTACGATTCCTGATTAGGAGGTGGCCGTTGGAGGCTAATTACCCCTCATTACCCACTGTATACTACACGGCACACGATCAGGCTGACACTCCACCTGATGGAAAAATTCTCTCAGGCCGGAAAATCGTCCCGAAAAGGGCAAAACATCACACAATGTATGCTCGGCTTTAGTTAGATTTTCCTTTAGGATATTTTTACGCATTTTTCTTATCCAGATTTCCATTAGGTCTGATGGAAATCTGTACCTGCTTAAACTGCTACCATACATCATGATGCTGCCATAAAGTTAAACTTTTGAGTTTAGGGGATGTGTGCTGCTATAACACTTTACCAAAAAGTACAGTTTTGTGTACATCTGACCAGAGTATCTTCTTTCTGCCAAGAGGGCCTAACCTGAAATCATGACTGTCAAATTTGGCCCAATTTGTTGAGTGCATCACTTATAGCTGTCCTGCAAAAAGACTCTCCCACCTGTGCTTTGGATCTCTGCTGCTCCTCCATAGCTGCAGTGCACCTCTAGGCTGCTTCTCTGGTTGATTATTTCCTTGTCCAAGTTGTTAGTTAAGGAAAAGGTTAATATAGCAGTAGGTCTGCAAATATGACAAATCTCCCACTCTCAGATGACCCCAAAATGTCATCACATAACTCTTAGGCTTAGACAACTTTTATTGTCATTTGTGTACAATGAGTATATACATAACGAAATTTCGTTATGTACAGCTCTCATGACATTCCCATTTCTTAAAGTGCAGCAGTGATGGAATGTAAAGTATGAATCTGCTGAACCTGCATCAGATGGTTGGGGTCATTGTTACGGGCTCGGGACATGCAGCACTGGGATAAAATGTATTTTATCGGGGAAAGTGGAGCCCCCGGTGATCTTCTCTGCTGTTCTCACTACTCTTTTCACCTTCTTCTAGTCTGTGACGCTGCAGCCTCCACACCACGCAGTGAGACAGCTGGTCAGAACGATCTCTATGGTGCTTCTGTAGAAGGTTGTGAGGATGGGTGGGGGCAGGTGGGTTCTCCTCATCCTCCACAAGTACATGTGCTTTTGTGCCCTTTTGACCAGTGAGGTGGTGTTTACAGACTGCAAAAAACCCCAATACATAGGCAAACACAGATACAACATGACATCTTGAAGGATGAATGGTCGAGAAGGATGAGAGGTGCGTGTATCACATTTGAGCATCAGTGTGTGTGCAAATAAGCCCATGAAGCACTGTTCCTTTAGTTCATCTCTTTGACAGATGTAACAGTTCGTCAGCCGACCAACAAGGCAGCTTCACAGATATCTTCAGGGGAGGGAAGAGCAAGGTTTTCGAATCCCATTTTGTGCACAGATAAGTTAAATACTGAATTATTTTGATACTAAAACAGAGGACATTTTAAGTATAAAACAAACACAACAGTCCACAAAAAGACCTTCTTACATAATATCAAACAAGGAGTTGGAAGTAACAAGAAGAGGGCAGCAGACCTGTGCTCCTGACTATTAGATCATTTGATCCTACTTTGAATATATATGATGGTTATAACAAATGTAGCAAAAACGCTTTGAGGAAATAGTGATAAAACTTCAACACAAGAAAACCCCAAACATGCCAGTAATGAATTAAGAAGTGGAAAGTTGGTGTCAGAGACTAGTTAATGGCTATAGAAGGATTCTCAGTGTTATTTTGACCAAAACCGTAGTTGTTTTTCATGGTTAGTGTCCTTTATTACAAGGGTAAGGGTGATTTTGTGGAATCAAATCACTTTTCTTAGACTTAAATAAATGCTTTTTGGCATGTCCTGATTATGTTACACGGATGAGCTTGGAGAAAGATAACTTAAGCATGTTTCCAAGGCATTGCTGCAAACATTTGTTTTTTGTACCCAATAATCCCCCCAATAACCCAATAATAACCCAATTGTATTATAATAAAAAAAAAAAAAAAAACTTTATGCTACACTAGCTTTCTGTACCAGTCTGGAGGTGACTTGAAAAAAAGGAAACGAAATAGAGACGGAAAAAGTAAACAAAACATTAAAACAGACTGCTTCACCCATAATGCACCAGGGAGCCTTATCACAGATCCTTCCTCCCAGCAGCTGTAAGATTTTATAACCATCACTGTTCCCAATTACCTCAATACGTTGTTACATTAATGTTGATTTTTGTACAGTTTCAGTCTTAGTCAATTAAATAACATGCTGCCGTCATTTTGCACATCTCTGGTGTTACTGGTATTTTATCATATCCACTGTAAAAATGTTCACAGCTGTTGATTGATTATTCTCCAGATATACAGTATTTATATTGTAAAACACTATACAGTACAATATTTAATTTTCTTAACTCTTAAATGTCACTTATTCTGTTATTTTATAAGCTTTTCTAAGGTCCACATTGTGTGACAACTTTTGCTACTTCTGTAGCACCACAATTTCCCCATAGTGGGACAACAAAGGCATTTTCTATACTATTCTGTTCTGTTCTATTCTATTCTATTATTTATATTGAAGTAAAAGACCAAACACATTTTAAGACTCAGCATTAGCTCGTTAAAAACAATTAAATTCAATTCAGTTTATTTTTATAGCGCCAATTCCCAACACGTCAGCTCAAGGCACTTTACAAAGATAATGCACCTAGATCATACACTCAAACTGATACAAAGTTTTCTATCTAAGGAAAACCAGCTGATTGCATCGACTCAATGACTCGAAGGCAATCCTTCGAAAACAGACAAGAAAATGAATTTTGAATCAAACCTTTTATTATTAGTCCAACATTTGAAAAAAAAAGACTTAGTTTGAGTGACGATGGGATTTTCCTATTTTCATCCTCCACAGTATGCTGAATATATGCAATCATTTTATAAAACAGTACAAAATTATATAACTTAAGTTTTTGATACAAAAATTAATAACTTACAGTTTAACTGTTTTCACATAGTTATATGATTATGTACAAATAAAAAAAATACAAATCACTTTTCCTTTTTTTTTTTTTTTTTTTAGAAATTTACAAACAATTAAGGTGCACTTGAGTGCTAGAATCTAAAATGAGTGATCATTTTAAAATACAAACATCAAAACTCATGAAGGCGTGTAACAAACCAGTAATCTTAAATGGTGATATATGTGTGTAAATGTCATCACACAGCGGATATATATCAAATTTATTCTAACATGAATATATAAAATGTAGATGAAAACAGCCATTAAAACAAAATGCCCAGATGAATTGTCATCAGTATGACACAGAGGTGAATTAGTGCAGGTTACAACTAAAAATGTACAATCTAACTTTTTTGTAAACCTTTTAAAACAGAGGTGTTGTCTGTGTCTACATCAGCATGCAAAGCTGGACCTTTCCAGTTAGATGTGTTTAAAACTTGCACCATCATCAAAAGACTGGAAATGGGTGACATAGACAAAAAGGTGGACTTTGCCTAAAAATCGGAACAGAAAATAACAAAACAAAATTCTATTTACCATAAGGTAGCAAGTGCTTTATGTGTAAATTTTGCAAGTCAGCATGAAAACGCTGCCAGTGGAGGTTTCCCTCTAAGGTCAAGAGCTTTGATCCTTTCAATCCTGTTTGATCTCAACATTTTTGTGTAGACAGGCACACAACATGAAGGTGTGATGCCAATAGCACCAAAGTGAGCTGAAATGAGGAGCTGTATGGCTGCGATCTCCTTATTAACCCCCATTGTAACCAGTTAATACAATGAGTTTGAAGACCACATAAAAGTTTAGATTGTTAAAATAACCCATTGGTCTTATAAACATATTTATACATTTCATAATTTCTAATATATGCTGCAAACTGAGAACAAAGGAACAGAACTCATTTACAGATAACTACATTTTCAAGTTACTAAAAATGTCAGGTGCCCTTAAATCTATACGTCTTTCCATAAATACGCTCATATATACAGAAAAGCATTATTGCTCGACTGTTGTGCAAATCCTTACTAGATTAAAAATAATTTCTCTGTGGTACTCTAGGTTTTTGGCTCATGTTGGTTAGAAGCTTATGTTTATTTAAACCAGTGCAGGTAGTTAGTCTTGAGAGCTGGGAAGCACATGTTGTTGCTGCATGAGCCCCCGTAGCTGGGAGGGCAGGCGGAGCATGGGACGCCAACCTTGTAGGGAGCCTCTCCGATCCAGTTGCCCCTAAAAAAAAGTTTAAAAAAATAGCATTCCCAATGAATGAAAAGGTTTGGAGATGGCACAACTTTCCATCCTTAAAGTAAAAGTTTGGCACAAGACCTATCATACAGTGGTGAATAATCGCAATGACGTAGAACTTTTTAGTTGCCTAATGTGAACCCCTGTGTTGCAAAATCTTTAAATCATTTCTAATATGAACAAATCAAAGAACTGGGTTGTAAATAAATAAGGTTTGGTAAAAAAAAGTTCTCAGAAGTTAAATGAGAAGCTGCCTGAAACATTAGTAATGAACTACTTTTTGATAGAGATTTATAGATGCATTGGGGATAATTAAACTTTGTCCTTTGTAAAAGATTTTAGGACATTTTTTCAAAGCAGAGCCTTGAAAGATGTATTCTTCTTTCAATAAAGGGATAGCACAGGTTTCTTCTGTAGGATTTTTTTTTTTTTTAAGTTATAAGTTGTGATATCTTACCTTCTATCTATGTCTCCTTTGTCATTTCTATTCAGTGTACATCTAGATTGCTCCAAAGCTAATAGCTAGCCACTGACCAAAGACTGATTTATTGATTTTTTTTTATTTTGAAATGCTTGCATTGAGCTTTAATTTATAAGGTGAAGGACGGGGGTAGTGAAGCACAAATAATTTTGTATGAGATATTCACACTTATGCTTCTGTAGTATTTGAAATAAAATAAAGATAAAAAAAAAAAACATAGAACTGGATCACTACCTTCTAAAAAAAAACATTTTTACATGTTCTGTTCTTCTAGCATGTTTCACATAGGGACAACATTCGTTAAAAGGTCAAATTTATGTGTCACAGCCCTCTATAGAGAGCTGGGGCAGAAGAACTCTTACTGATGATGATGAACTTTTATTCATCTCAAAATGGAGAAATTAACTTTGGAAAGCAGTGTGGGGTTAAGCATCTTGCTAAGAGACCCAGAGTGCAGGCTGTGGGTCTTAACCACTAGGCCACACTCCCCACTGATGGCTGTGGGATGGACTTCATATTTAGATCCTCTCCCCCAGTTCAGTTGATCCAGAGTGTCCTTAATTTTACGCTTATGAGCTTTTGTCTGTTTTTCTGAATGCCACTTCCTCTTTACCACTAGAGACATACCCAACCTATCTTACATCTTCACCTAATCCCTTCAATTTGTGTTTGAGTACCAATTCCCTTCTGTGTAAGTAACTTGCCAATGCAAGACCTAACAACGGTAAAGGGTTTGTAACATCTTATTTGCAAAAACCACTAACAGTTTCTGCTAAGAAGCCTCTATACTGGAGTTGTTTATTCCCTTTCAAGAAGCCATAAACCTCATTTTATGGCTCCAACTAATCCAACTAAACGGATTTATACGCGAGTAAAATACCAAATGAGGTTTTACATTTCTCTGAAGCTTTAATAGAATCTTGTTTTAAATATCTTAAACCATATGAACCAGATCTATGGATGGTAGGATTACTTTGTAAAGAGGAAAATATGAGAAAATGAGTAGTTTTGTATGGGTCTGATAATCTTATGCAAAAAGCCATAACTAAAAGTTGTTAAATTGATTTAACGCAGCTAAGGTTCTTTATATGCATGCCAGCAGGAATTAGTTACAAACTTTATCTTTCAAAGAGGACAACAGTGACCTCTGCTGAGTGTGTGACTCTATCTACATTAAATAGTTAAGCTGCAATCCCCAGCCTGTTACTCTCATGCAATGTGTTTCAAACCAGGAGGATTAAAGAACTAAGATCATGAGGAAATCACAAGTCTGGTTCTACTCAGCATACTATTTACTGTTGCTGGTTCAAAGGGGTTATCTGAGTCCTTAATCAGCATGGGTGGCATTTTATGATCCAGCATTTATCCTGCACCTTCTGTTTAACACTAAATCAGGTTGTGAAAACATACATCTCTCACTTGATGCTTAGCATACTCACTTTGGTGAATAATTGCAGACTAAATACGTTGCCCTTTTCCACACAGAACCCCAGACATTCATATTGTGGCATGTGTGGATTGCACAACCGATTTTGTTAGACGTCGCCCATACCATCTGCCAAAATCAGGAAAGAAGAAGGAATTAGTTGATTAAAATTATGGCTGTGGAATTTATACCAATATAAATCCAATAATGAATGAATAACTTTGTACTGCACCTGTGTGTAGTGGGTACACATGGGTCCATAACATCTGAGAGGGCATCTTGGGTTGCAGTCACGGGGGTATGGAAAGGAGTAATCTTTTACTTCGTCGTACCAGGGCTTTACCAGCTGCAGAATGGACCGATATCTGTGAGCAAAATTCAGACAAAGTGAGCGTGCAATTATTTATCATTTTGAGTGTTTGCAAATGATGATGAGCAACAGATGAGATTTTTAAAACAGGTGCCAAACCGCAGCGTCTGTAATAGAACTGTTGTAGCTCAGCTCAGCAAGGGTTGGCTGAACTCAATAAAAGAGAGCAGTTTGATTTCTAATATTTTCCCCTGTTAGAGGCAAGGCTCAAGGAGGTGGTTTTTGTTTTGGTTATCGAGGTTTTTTCATCTGCATCCGATGTGTAATTTTTTGCATTTCATTATATTTTGTTTCTTTTTTTGTCTTATCTAAATCTGCCTCTTCCCATACAAACTCATCATATCTTACCTCATCTTACCTCAGCTATTCCCATGTTTTATTATGATCACTAATCCAACCAGATCTCTTCTTAAACATTGATTTCATGTTTCATGAAAACTTACATACCGATTTTTCATTTGAAATAGTTTGAAATATTAGTTTCTAATAGCAAATAGGAATATTTAGAAATAAGTGATGCATTTTATTGCTTAATTCTTGAGCCTGACAGGCCCGGTACCATCTGACACCTGCTAATGATGATCTATTTATAGAGATTACCAAAATACAGTCACATGGTGTTTCATCCACATGCATTTCAAAATGGGGCTTTAAAATTTCTAAAACATTTTTTAAAATTATTTTTTTTTCACAAATACCTTTTGTTTTATAGCTGAGTAAACCAATACAATAAGATTTAAAATTCCAGCTGTGAGAGTAATGCAACAGGTATTCATTTTTAGCCACACCCCCCAGTGGCCGGCATCATTGGAAACTAGAGGCTCAGACATTTCTGAGGAGGGGTCTGAGGTAATTGTGTGACCATTTCAGGTGATGTAACCATCATGCGTGCATACGTTTGCTCTGTTGTTCTTATTTTCTATTTAGTGTGGTGAAATTATTGTGTCTTCAATTGTAAATTTCAATGAAACAATGGCTAAATCTTAGGAGCAAAGGCTTTGCCTTATCCAGAAGGTCTCCAATAATGTAAATCAGCATATTTGTCTGGCCAGATTCCCTTTTATAAGTGGAAAAATGCATTTGGTACAATTTGTCCAATTTTGGCACCACGGTGCCAAAAACACATTTCAGTCTAGCCAGAATTGTTTTCGTCAAGGATGAGGATGAAAAAATTATTTCGTTGACACGCCTTTTATTTTATAACGAGGATTGACGATCTAAACATGGATCTTTGTTGACGGAAACCTGGGAGTTATGGGTGTGAGTTTTAGTCAACGAGACGAGACAAGACTAAAAGAAAAATTAGCAAGTAGTCGGTCAGTCATTTAAAATGCATCATTGTGCTGTAATCTGCTAAGCAGTATGAGCCGTGCCCACCTGCCGTGCAGCAATGCTCATTCTGCATGACCACAGATGGAACATGGCAGCAGCAGCGTGGTGTAAATCATCCAGAATGGTCCGGGTGTCTGACAGAACACCGGTACTGCGCACTGAACTCTGACAAACTGTTCTTCCAGCTGTGCTTGGGCAGAAATGTGTCTTTGCACACGCTTAGCTCAGAGTCTGCGCTTCTCTCCCTCCATGCCAATGGTTCCCTCTCAGCAGTATGGCTCTTCCTGCTCTCACTACTTAATATACTATGTGGCTGATCATCCTCTGCCAAGCTTAAAAAATAAATTTGTCTAACAGGATTTTATTTCTTCCAGCTCACAAGAGGCGATACTAAACGTTCTTTAATTTCTACCAAAAGGAATCCCTAAATTATGTCCAAATAACATATTTCATGCATTCTGTTTATTTTTGGATAAAAAGCCAGATGAAAAGGTACATAGGTCTTTAAATATTTTTCTCTTATTGTTCTCGTTTCTATCTATTTAAATGATATATATATATATGTTTCTTTGAATTCTCACTACAACATTTTCTGTGTTTCATTTAAATATTTCAACATTTTAGTTGGCATATTCAATTAAATTTAATTTAGGTCTGGATTGCCATAGCCATAGTTTTCTCTTTATTTGTTTTTGTATCAAAACCCTGTGAATTTAAATCTACTTTGACCCCGGAGCAGTGGTAACTAAGGGGCAGATTCTCAGAAATAAAGCCAAAATTGCCAAAGTAGAAAGAAGAACGTTTTTATTCTTTGGTTTTTTTGGAGTAATTAAGATTTTAGTATCTGTGTGTAATGCATAATTCATACTGGATCAGGAAGTGTTTGCTTTTGAATGGGAACCTTTTGCAGTACGTCTACAAGCATTTCTTTATTGTACATTTTGTTAGCTTGTCTGTCTGCTATATTAACCAATATTATGTGTTGAACTAGATCCGCTATTTTCACAACTTTTGTGAGACACTTTTTTATAAAGTTGGGCATTCATTCATAAAAAAGTTTATTTGAATTCTAAAAATCAAAGTTTTCTGCCCAACAACAATGATGAATTGCACGGCAGCATTCTATACCCAGCAACCATAGTATCTAGGCAAGAACTATCAGTCTGGTAAAGAATCTGGTTTTTATTCGAAATTGTAAAGAATAACTTTTTTTGCAACATAAGACTGACTAAGACTAGACTAAAACCTTTTCAAGTTTTAGTAAACTAAAACCGATGTAATGAATACAATGTGATGAAAACTAATAATAGTTTTCATCCTGAAGACTAAGATTAAATCTAAGATGGCTGTCAAAACAACACTGCGTCTAGCACACTGCCCACTAAAACCTTTGTGGAACGAACATCCTACAACGTATTCAGTCCACATTTGCTTGAGTTATAGTCAACATGCGGATCTGTAATGTCTAAGGCTTCATCTGGAGTTTGAATTGGGGTTTCATGGTGTCTTGCATTTTTTATTTTGGAAAAAAATTTGGCAAGCCTAAATATTCTTCATTTTTTTCTTTGTTTAATCACATATAAATCAGACATGGTGATATTTAAAATAGTGATTCCAACTGAAAAATATTCCTCAATGCCATTCTGTCACAAAAATACAAACAATTGTATTTCCAATTTATAGTTTAGGAGCTGTAATTAATACTTAATTCACATATGTCATTTCAGGCAGAATTGGCTCCTAAGACCCTCTGGGCGTAAGGGGTCTTAAAAGTAAATTAACAATGAAAGTAGAGGTAATGACAGCTACTTTAGGGTTTTTTTTTGGTGGGTAGAGCCTAACAGCTTAAAACACTGACCTTTAGTTTTGTTTCATTCAGGACTTTTACTGTTCCTTAAAGTAAATCTTAAAACTTTAGAAACACATGTTGGTTCTCTTTCATTAAAAAATGGAAAATCAAGACATAATAATGGGCTTGGCTTTTTCTCCTTATGGGTTATAGGTCAAAGTATGTTTTTGTTTATATAAAAGTTCACAGAAGCATTCCTTGTGCAGTTTCCAGGTCACAGTCCACAAACCCTTAGGGAAAATAATGAGGCAACAATAAAATTACCATTACATCCAAGAAACAGTTCTATTGGAGAGGAGCAGCAGAAGTGAGCAAAGAGAAATGAAAGATAACTCACCGTCCGGTCCTAACAGAGAGGTTCTGACCTAAGAACCTGAGAAGGTGGGGAGGTCCATGTTCCCAAAGACAAGCATGAGCCCAGTCTTCTGCTGTTTTTGCCAAAGTCTCATCCCACACCTAAACACATGCAGTGACATTGTGGAGTCAATAAAATCTATTAAACGACCAAAGCAAAATTCATTTCCAAGGATGTTCTTGTAAACAAATTCTCACAGTAAGGTCAGGAGGCTATTTTGTGTCAGTGCAAACTTTTTTTACTCTTACACAGATAGCTGTACTGCATTTTCAGCAGATGCTGAACCAGTGAGGACATTTATCAAATAGATAACACAGCAACTTCTTCACTGTAATTCAAAGTAAACGTTTGAATGAAAGCTTTGATTTACCATGTATTCCATGTTGGAAGCAGGGGGGAAAACTCTGCCTCTGACTTTATTGTGGTAATCGAGGATGGCAATCATGTCGTTCTGACTAATATAGCGCTTCCTCCTGGTTTTGGAAGCAGTCGGGTTCTCTCCAGTTCCTTGCGCAGCGCCAAGCGCATGGACTTGGGCACCTGACGCAGACGAGGACGCAGCAGGGATACTTGTTTCTCGCACACTTACTCCGCAGGATATGCACATAACTATTAAATCTATTGCAAGTAACTGGAGTTTCATTTTCGATTTAAAGTAAAGTGCAGATGTACCATTCAGATTCGAAGATGCTTCTGGAAAATAAACCGACAAAATAAGGTTTAAATTTGAGGCATTCAGACTAAGGTCTGCACAAAAAGGACAAGAAAAAAAAATTACCTTTTAAAGCGGGTTGGTACTTTCTGTTGAGAGCAATCCCGCTCCTAAAGCCTCTGTAAAGGATCGCAGAAAGAGAGACAGAGCAGCGATTGCGCAGGTTCTCTGCAGACTTTTAGGAGTGTTTCATGAAGAGTCAGTTTTGGGGGATTTATATAGCCCATTCCCGCAGTGGAGAGAGCAGGAAGTGCGTTTGTCTCAGGGGTAAAACGCACAGCTCCTCCTCGTCACCTGAGACGCACGCATCATCTTGGTTCCCTCAAACTCCAAGAGAAACTTGTTTTCTGGAGGTGAATTGATCTTTTGTTTACTTTGAACAAATACAAAGTTCTTGTTTCTAAATTGCTTTTCATGTGGTATAAATTATCTTTATAACCAGCTTTTTGCCATCACAACATCTAGTATAGAGGTTTAAGAGAAAATGGATTCTGTCAAAAATCACAATATTTTATTATATATTTATGCTGATTCAAATATAACCAAATGGATCTTAAAAGTCAAAAGGTGTTTCTAGGCAGACATCCTTTTCTTTGTTTTATTTCTATATAAAATAACCCTTAAAGGTATAATGGAGGAATTATTTTTTTTCTGGGTGGATCATCAAAATAAGTGGTCCTCTTAATTGTCAATCATTCTGGTGATATTTTGAGATAAGGCCGTGCTTCGTACTCATCCCCATTTTCACTTAACGGTGGTGAGTCTGACATATTAGAAAAATCGCAAATCTTCTTTTGGAAATAAAGCTTTTATGAGTGATGCAAACAGCAACTTTTAAACTGGGCGTGCACAAGGAGAAATGGGCAGCGTTTCCCTCTCGGGAGCGAGTACAGGGTTGTACATGTGCATTTTTTTGTGCGTGTCTTTTCAAATATTCACAAAAGTCTTCAATTATACCTTTAAATGCCCAGTCACTTGTTGGCAGCAGTCACACCAGACCAACAAGGTCTTGTGAGGTTTTCTGTTATAAAAAGTACAATACTTAATAACAATAGTTATTGTTGTTATTAGTAGTAATTTTTAGAAGAAGAATAATTTATCTCAACCTTTTAAAGTTGAGATATAAATTAAATACATTAGTTATTATTGTAATTTAAAACATAAAATTGGAGCAGAGTTGTGTATCAAACCACTCCAAGGGTTTTACTGTTTCAACCAGAGAACAATAAATGGAGTCTGCACAGAAAAACTGAAATAGTCGCCCACTTTAGGAGCCAGTGCACATTGGGACACTTAATGCCATTGACTGGCCATATGATTAAGCAAATGAATAAATAGATACATAAAACAGAGGGAAAAAACAAACAAATGAACAGACCTCTAGAGCATTCTTTTCTTATTTTGCCCTTGATGCAACTCTGCTCATGATCTTGAGATACTCAGAGTTAATAATGTAACATAAAGGTGTCATGTTAAGATTTTATTAAATTAAAATAAGTTAACAATCAGCTTAGATATTTGAAAGTCTTGTACTGCAGCTCATTTGGCAAATCAGCGGTTTTCTCATAAATTGACTGCAATCAGGGAGTGGAAGTTAGTATAATCAATGCAAGTCTCCTTTGTCACATGCGGTACTGCATAAAGATTGCACTTGTTCAAAGTGTGGTTGTAGTTATGTTGTTTGCCAGAGGAGGGATGCTGAACCAAGAAAGAAGAGGAAAAAAAAAAAAAGTTTTGTGGTTTTCATTGGCAGCTGGAGAAGGAATTAAAGCAAGTGACGCAGAAGCAACTTTCTCTCCACTCCTTTTCCCCCCTCTGTTCTCTTTTTCTCCTCCTTTTTAGATACAGAGAAAACTGCTGCCCCAAACTGAAAAAAGAAAACACAATAAAAAAAAAACCCTTCTTGGAAGTGATGAACTTTTCAGGTGCTGGATTTGCAATGGAGAGGAATATATATCACTCAAGGGTGGAGCAGGGCAAAGACTGTTCTCCTCGGTTTCACTCCCTCTATACATTTCAGCGCTCATTCTGAATTGCTGCACTTCCTCAATGCTTGCTTCACCAAGACTTCCACAGGCAGCCGCAGAGCAGAGCATAAATCAAGATAAATGTGTTGAATTCGCTTACTTCCCGAACCAAAGCCAAATACTTGGTTTGATACAATGCAATTGTGTTCTACAGACGAATACTGTTTATGTTCATATGTTTGTATTAACAAATGTTCCCTGACATGTACAAGTTGGAAGCAAGTAGATTTTGATAGATAAGTGCATCTATTGTGGGTTTTTTTTTTTTTTTAAGTATTTTGATTAAAACAGTTTATCCAACTTCTAACTATTTCCAACAGCTTTTAATCTTTAAATCACTGTCTCATGTGGTTTGTTTGGATTTTATATGTCAGACAAAGCAACATTATAGTAAAATGTAAAAAAATAAATAAATAAA